AGCGCCGCCGCGCTTCCCAAGCGGCGCACTTATCCAGTGCGCCACCGGGCTGGCCCGAAACTGAGTTGATATTCTAAAATATGATATAGTCTGCAGTTCTATCACTGGTTAGGATGCAAATTCCATAGGCTTGAAGTTCATAGATGAATTCACAGATTCCTGAAGTACTTTCACAGATCACTATGGTTTCTCCAGGGATGTTGACAATCACTGCTTTAAGGTGTATTGTGTACAGTTTTATCTTCAATTTTTCTTGTTTTCTAATAAATGTATTTAAGACTGAAAATGCCCCTCTGAATACTACCTTGTCTATGTCTGACAGTGTTTAGCTGTGATGACTATTGTTGATTATTTCTAATGGGTAATTTCAGATTCAGTTGCCTTTATATTTAACCCAGGAATTATTTAAAAGTGTGTTTAAAATTTCCAAGCAGATAGCATATAGCCTTTATGGTTTCTACTTTATGAAATACATGTTCAATATTTGTAAATAGTCTATAAATTTTGGGGGGTGGAGGCATGCTTTGCCTGTTTTTAGATACATGTATTTTTGGATTTAATTTGTTAATTGTTCAAACTGTCTACATTCCTCTCTTATTGCTTGTTTAATCAACTGGTTTCTGAGATGTGAAAGCATTATATGACTGTTGGTGAGTTGTGCCTTTTCCTATGATACACTCTTCTGTGTTCTCCATGCTTCTGTAACTGACTTCTGTTTTCCTCAATTAATGTGGTCAAAACAGCACTGGGGAATTTAATCCATTCATAATAATTGAGATTCTTAAAATGTTTGGGCTATTCCTGGCTGTCTTGTATTTTTAATATATCATGCTTTCTTGTTTTTATTTTATTTTATTGACGTGAGTGTTACTTTTTTTTCCTTGTCATTCCTCCTAGTGGTTTGGAAATAGTTAAACCTTTCGTTATTCCTTTGGTGGTTACCCTTTTTCTTTATTATGTTTAGAGTTAATTAGTAGCCCTATCTTCCACCCATCTCAAAACTGAGTCAGTAGCCTTAGCATTCTTTCACTTCTCTACCTCGACCTCTTCTTGTGGTCTAATAAGGTGCGATTGTAGTTTCAGATTAATTTCTGTTATCTTGGTGTGTGTGTGTTTTAACATTTTGCTTAAATAGTTATTAGACAACTATGAGTTTTACTGTTTCCTTCTCATTGCTTTTTCCTGCATCCCAGGATTAGTTTTCTAGTTTATAGCAGCATATCTTCAAGTAATTGAATGTTGAATCCTTAATTTGAAATTTTAAAAATTGAGTTATGGTTTTAGGCTCAAAATTATTTTCCTTCAGCATTTTGAAGCTATAACACAATTGTTTGCTAGCATCCAGTATTGCTGATTAAAGTCAGACCCCAACCTGGTTTTTCTCTTTCACTTTTTTATTATTGATAATATGTTTTTCCCTCATTAAAAACTTTTAGGATTTCCCTTTTATGCTTGGAGTCCTAAAATTTCACCAGTATGTGCCTAAGTGTGTGGGACATTCATTCTGTTTACTCCACAGTCCTTTCTTCTGAAGGATTGTACCATTCTTGGACTAACGGTAGTTTTAACAATTATTTCTTTATTTTCTTTTCATTTTATCTATTTCATTTTTCTGAATGTAGATGCGAGACCTCCTAACTTGATCCTCTGTCACTGTACATTTATGTTTTGTCTTGGTCTTTTTTGCTCTGATCTGGAAAATAACCTTCCAAATCAGTAATTCTCTCTTTAGACATATCCATTAATTATTATTTAGCTATTCTGTTTATTAATTTGTTTTTAAATACTCAAGATTGCTTTCTTGTTCTAATTCTTTTTCATAGATTTAGTAAGTACCCTTACATCTCAGAGGATTCCAGTCAGAATTTCAACATTATTTTCTAATCCTTGAATTATTTCTATTTTCCCCACTGAGTGTCAGTTGTTCCGTTTGCTCAAATTTACTAGTTATCTTTACTGCTATCTGTTGTTTTTTAATGTCTCCTCTTAGCTAGGAAAGAGGGATTCACTTGATCATGTATTGAATTTAATAAGACTTCTTTCTCCAAAAGGCATTTACCTTGACTGAAAAGGGGGCTTGTAAGCTGGCATAGAGTACTGTAGGGAAAGTGAAGGAAAATGGTCAGGGCCCCTCATGTTCAGAATCTTGCTGAGTGAGCATTTGATGTAAATATGCAAATGTGCCCAGGTGTTCCTTGGTTATTGTCTAACGTAATTGCGCATGTGCACCCAGGTGTCCTGGGTTATGGACTTAAGTACAAAGGAGGAGTGGCTCTGATCCACAGGCCCCCCCCCCTCAAGATGCCCCTGTGGGGAGGAAGGGGCATAGGGAGGCTACTACTGCTGCTGGAGGCAGCAGCAGTGGCTGAGGACTGAGCTCCTGTCGTCTGCCAACTGCTCCCAGGATCTTTCCCAATTACCTGTCGTGGACCTGCATGTGAGGGGTCTGGTGGCCTGTACAATGGGTTTGAAGGGTCTGAGCCCTAGCCCTGACAATACAAATGGAAACTTAGTATAACTAAAAGAATGAAACGTTTTGGCTTTAGTTATGAAATGCCTAGCCATACCATTAACGTAGCTATTGCCTCAACAAGTACCAGGGATGGTAAGTGGGCAGGTCTAGGCTCTTGTCCCATCCTTGCTCCTTTCTCTATGCCAAAATATGAAGGGCCTTATTCTGAGACTGGAGCTCTTCTACCCTGGGTGACACTGTCTCCCATTC